GCTTAATTTCTCCTAATAAATGGATATGCTTTTTCCTGCTGAGAACCACTTGGCCATTTAGTTGTTTCCTCCGCCTTCACTCGTGTCTTGTGTCATTTCTGAACCCAGCCCGTTTTAAAAACAGGAAAATAATGTACAAGTATGTGCCAATATAGAAATGTTACATCAGTCCAAATCAGAGAATACCTCCCTTGCACCTGGGTTTGAAAAACAGAAAGTGGAAAAAAGGAAAGATATTTTTAAGACAGGAAACAGCATGCATGTGCTGTTAGCGTAAATGCTCGAACTACATTAGAGAAGTAGAAGTTAATTAGCCTGGTCAGCTCTGCTACAGTGCTTGCTTTGTAACAAGCAAATGTGTTCAAATGCAATTAATATTCAGGGAACAACAGAACATAATGCAAATTTTGCATTTGATTACGTGCAATTTCATCCGCAAGAAGCATTAGGTGAAAGCAGAAAACTGCACCCAGCTGAAGAAAGCTACACAGAAATTCACCAAATGCACCCAATTACATACCTCAAACATCTACCACCTACCTGAGATCAGAGAGTATATTACGAGTTACACCATCACATCTGCAGTTACAACTTACCTTCCACTTCTGATAATCCTTCTACTACCACCTGACAATAATTCACTAGCTCCAATCCTCTGACAACCACTTTCACAAGCAAAGTTCAGGATTTTTTGAAGGCAAAGTACCATATTTATTGTAGTAGTTATGTATTTCTTAACCATTTAACATGTGTGACTGTGCTACCATTTTATTAGGTTCCTTTTTTTTTTTTTTTAATGTACAACTGACAAAGTTTTGTGAGTGTTTTGCTCCAGCCACCATTTGCACCATAAGCCCTGTGGTTTTTATTACATGATTTTGCACAGCATGAGGATTTGAGGAATGCCTGTGTCCCATTCTGGCATAGCTGACTATACCACCAGCATAAAGTGTGTGGGAGGGAGGTCAGCTAACCTAACAAGTGCTGCTTGTCAGCCATTATTATTCACTTCCACTCCATGTTTTATTCTTACAATCCCATCCTTAAACCAACTCACCAAAGTTAGAGGCTCCCATCATTCAAAGATTTAAAATGCATGCCCTGACCTTCCTTGGACAAAGCAGAGTAAGAGGGGACAAATTCTCTCTCAACCTGTCAAATATGCCCTTACTTTTCCTCTTAATGTCTTCTCTACAAAAAGTTGTTCTGCCTTCCCTCACATGGAATTTAAAATCAAGATTCCTTTAATCTTGGCATTTGTTTACTTGATCATATGTTCTTAATGTGCCAATGATTATCTCTGATTATAATTACTCAAGGACCACATTTGTGTTTGGCAAGATGTTTTTAGTAAGAGAGATCAGGATAATATCTAGTTCGAGTGTAGCAATTTCTGCAAAGAAGGGAAGAGTAAAAATAAGAACCCAGGATCAGATGCTCTGACAATACATGCAGCTCAGTGAAAAAAACTGCATTTACATGCATCGTGCATGTTGCACTTCTAGACAGCACACAAGGTCAAACCACTAACTGTCAGTTACAATAAGCTTCCAAACTTCTGGTCAATTACCTGGTTAATAACAAAAGACAAGGCTATGACATCATTATAGTTATAATTAATTTACACAGATCAGCTTCCAGTTAATCAAATACATCTTTAAAAGCATTTAATTATTTTTCACCTACAAAGCAACACTCAGCTTTGTTAAATAAAAAGCAATCTTGCTGAATTCAACATGAAAGGTTGTCAGGCTACTCTCAGACATAAAGGACAAAAGGCTTCACAGGGCATACAGCTGCAACGTGGGAGCTGCTGCCGCATTCACAGCAAACAGAAGCACAAGGTGATGGCTGATATAACACATCTGAACAGTTTCTGAACATAACGAAGTTGTCAGGAAACAGGGTAAACAGGCTTTGGGAAAAGAAACGTCCCAATGCTTTTTGTCAAAAAGATATACGGGGCCAGCAATATAGACGTATGTAGTATAGGACAGTAGTTAAGGGCGTGGTCTTTGGTGAGAGCTCTACAATATGCCTTAGAAAATGTATTTGATCACCAGTTTCTCACCTGTAAAAGGACATAATGCAGGCTCACTGGGTTTCATGAGGATTAAATGAGATTACGTATTATCAAATCATAAATTGGGAAGTGATAGTGTTTTTAATCCATATAAACAAATAAAGACCTAAGATTAAAAATTTTAAATACCTTTCAAGTATTTTTATAACTGAGTAACCAATTAGCATTTTTCTTGGCTTTCTATGATCCACTGTTTAAACTATATCATATGATTCAAGTCCACGTACATTTTGAAAACAGTATGATGGGGTACGTGGTAGGCACATCAAAGTAGGAACTATTTTTTAATTAAAATAAATTTTATAACAAAGTCTCAAACCAGAGTTCCCATCAACATGATCTGATAATTTGAGAATTTAATGAGTCTTTCCAAAAAAAATTTCAATATGTCAGATGGCAAAATTTTTATTTCCTTTGCTCCTTTTTAGAGTGTTATAGTCTTAACAGAAAGGATTATATTATCTTTATACATGAAAAAAATGAAACCACTGGATTTTGTATATAATCTTGACTTTTGCTCCACGGTGAGGGGAAATTAGTGCCAACTCCAATTGTGATCCTTCACCACTTATGATTTCCAGTATCAATCATAAGTCGGTCCCTTCTCTCACAGACTACACGTCTTAGTGTAATGAGGGCTCATTAAAGTTCTCCGACTGACAGCCCTTCAGACGTAGGTCCTTAACCCGGAGACACATGCAGAGCTGCAATACTCCCCATCACTCCCTTCTAGAGGATTCAAGTAAATTCCATGCTCACCTTTGCTCTGTGCCAGATTTCTTTGTTTATCTGCCTAAAGTCCATGAAAAAGTGCTCGCCATCCCCCCATTTAATCTCTGTGTAAGAACTGGTAATGAATTATTCATGTGACTGAAATCCTCCCAGCACAGGAACAAGTCAAGGGGGAGAGGAGCACGCCTGACTTCAGAGATGCTGTTTATGTGCCCACAAAGCACATGGGACGGCCACTAAGCAGCAGGTGGTGGGGTCGGCTTGGAGCTTTGGCCTGCCGGACAGCATCAATACTTCATTCTTTCAGGAACAGGAAGTTGCCTCCCAGCCTTACCGGATGTGGTCCTGGTGGGGACGGAGGGGGGGGGGGCCAAGTTTTCCTTTCCCACACTGATTCAAGGGTGATGGTGACCAGAGTTGGAATAATAACTCTCTCCCTGGAATCTAAAACCTGTGCAGAGATACAAAGACCAACAACACCTGGAACTGATATTTGGAGCCTCAACCTAAAGATATCCTTCAAGTCCACTGAGTCTACCTAAACCTTGAGAGCTCACCTGGCTACTCTCCTTTACCAAGGCTTGGTTGTTTGGTTTTCTGTTGATTCTCTGAGCTACCCATTGACTTCCAACAAATCTCTTGTTTTCGAATAAGCTATCTGGATACCATAGTTAACTCACTTTCTGTTGTTTGCAAAGAACACTCCCCAAAACGCTACATTTGCCAAGGGCTGGCAAGCAGACCCTAGTCTCATTCAAGCATCACCAGCTCTCATCTCCTGGTACCTCACTCAAGTCCGTGGGAGAACCAAAACATGATGCATATAGAAGCAGTATCTCAAAGGTCTGTTCCAGCCATGCTATTCCTAGCGAGAGAAGAGCACAGCTGGCTAAGGACGTGAGAACAAGAGCAACTTCTGCATAAATAAGGCAAAGTCCTCTCAAAGTCATCTACTAAGTGTCTAAACTTGGACACTGGTTGGGGCAGCTGGGTGGCTCAGTCGGTGAGCGTCCGACTTTAGCTCAGGTCATGATCTCACGGTTCATGAGTTTGAGCCCCACATCAGGCTCTGTGCTGACAGCTCAGAGCCTGGAGCCTGCTTTGGATTCTGTGTCTCCCTCTCTCTCTGCTCCTCCCCCACTCACCCTCTGTCTCTCTTTCAAAAATAAATAAACTTAAACTGGGACCCTGGATGAAGAATGTAATCACAAAAGGAAAAATGGATGATCTAAAATTTGTCTTCTAATTATACAAGGTTGATGATTTTAAAGAATATATCTAATTATTGATTTTCAACCTATACTCCCTGCCTTTCTTCTTCACTGAAAATAAGACTAGTTTGTCCATTTAATAAAACGTTACCACTTCATGAAAACTTCTGACTAGGACTTTGGGACAACGAATCATTTAGATTCATCAACAAAATGAAAAAAAAAAAAAACAAAGGAAAGAGGAAGGAGACAAGGAAGGAAGGAGGAAGGAAGAAAAGACGAAGGAAGGGAGGAAGGAAGGAAGGAAAAATGGAAGGAAGGAAGGAACTGAATAAGAGGCTTCTTCAACCTGAGAGCCTTTAGAAAGGATCATGGGAGTATCCTGCATGCTCTTCTGTGGCTTTACCTGTGTTTCACCATTATGTAATTCATTAATAGACATTAGTCATCACATTTCTCTAATTGTGAGCCCAAAGAAGAAAACCAATGAATGTGGAACTATAGCAGTAAAAGCATTGAGTATATAATTTTACATCTCACTGTCTGTATCATTTAATAAATATCTGAGAATTAGTGTCCTTTCAGGCAACCAGTCTAGAGGGCAGACATACAAACAGTGACACTACAGTGCGATAAAGAATGAAAATATGAATGCATATAAATGTGCACAGAATGTTTAGAAAAGAGCAAAAATAAGTTTTAAGGGTTTGTATGGGGTGTGGGGGAAGGAAAGAAAGAAAATACTGGGCAGGCACTATCCCGTGGGCAATGGGGAGGGAGATGAAATGATCCATGAAACTCATCATCAAAAGCAGGAGAGTCATCTCTCTCTCTCTCTCTCTCTCTCTCTCTCTCTCTCACACACACACACACACACACACACAGGATTTAAGTCATCACTTGGCAGACATAATAGCTACAAGCTAAAAATCTGGAAAGCCAAAAAGTCCCTTTTTGATACAAAATTAACATACCTTGAAAGAAACAAGGAAATCTTGAATACTTTGGTACGAAGGAAGAGACTACATGGGCAGTAGGCACAGTATTTATTCCTACATTTGCTCAAAGTTGGAATCAAACTGACTCATTACAACCATGACTGTGAATTGCTGGTCTCTGTAACATAAAAAAATGTAGCAAAGTTTCTTTCACTGTTGCCCGAGAGACTCCATCAAGGAAAAAAAAAATCCAAAATTAGGAGGAGCTGCCATCACACATTGACTGACACAAGCACGTACACACACCCCTATATATTATTTATATAAAGTTGAAGTCATTGTAATATGTATATAAATTTCATTCATAACTATCCTGATACTGTGACTTTGGATTAAAAATGCATAAGCAAGTTTACACCATGCAGAAACAGCTGTTGGTATAATGAGAACATTCCTGGAGCTGAAGCCAGATTTGGGGTCAAATATGGATGCCATTGTTTACTAGTGTGTGGCCTTGGGCAAATCATATAATCAATCCTGCTGAGCGTCTGCTTCTTTATCCATAGATGAGAAAAATTCCACTTACTTACTGGAGTCATTGTGAAGAATAAATGAGATAGCATATTATGTGAAAGCACGTAGCACACTCCCAAAGTTTGTTTTCCAATCTCCCTTCCTCTCCATAAAGTAATGAGCCTTTCCCCCCATGGGACTAGACTTTATTGCTTTATAATTATGATGTGCATGTAACAATGTCCAAGAAACTGGATGGTAAAATAACACCAACACACAAACCTGAATGCACACCATTGTTCGTTGACTATCATCTAGATCCCAAAGGGCTCTTATACGGCTCTTGTACACTATCTATCGCTTCCCAGAAATTTGACACATTTTCTTTTCTGAATACAGCCAAAATTATCCCACAGGCTTTGAAATATTGCCATCATGATGTTGCACAGAGCAGCTGGCTGATTGAAAGTGACTCCCCCTCCCCCACACTCCAGCTGTCACCAGGAAACCCTCCTCAATGTGTGAAAAAAGACAATGTGATATTACTACCACTCCTATTAATAACAATCTGACAAATACTCAGCATTTGAGATTATTTTTCTTATGAAAGCTCACTATTAACTAAAAATTAACTCCTTAAGAAAAACCCTTTACCATATAAATTGCAAACCAGCTGCTTTCATACAACAAAAAACAGAGGGACTGTAAACACAAGTAATGTATTTCCACTGACTTCTTGTTTCTTTTTCCTCAAGTCATCTGTAATGCTAAACAACAGCCAGTTAAAATATTAAATAGCTTTAACAGTGATACAGCTGTCATGGCTTAGAGGGCTCAAAAAAATAAAATAAAAACTGAGAGGACTTCTCAAAATGTGTGCATAGACTCCTATTTTGTAAAGTACGGGCCAGACTGGAGGCTGGATGCTTTCTCTTTTTTTAACAGCCACTTGCTCCTGTGCATGAGAAGTCATACACACATCTGACACGGCTGAAAACCCTGGGAGCTGTCTTCAGAACAAGTTTGTGAATCTCACTCACAATAATTCTTACTGCAAGGACTTCTTAGAGAGAACTCATCTCTTGAGGATTTCTATCCCACAGATGAAGAGTTTCACACCCAATGTCCTGGATTCCAGGGTTCCAGCGACATGCCTCAGAATGTCACCGCAAAAGATTCAAGATGAGCACCAGCAGGCAGAACTGTGCCCTTCAACCTCTCTTAAGGCCTCTCAGCTCCTGAGCTCTTCAGGTAAGATTCAGCTAAAGAGGGTTGCCTCCTAAAAACAAAACAAAACAAAAACAAAAACAAAAACAAAAACAAAAAAACAAAAACAAAATCTAAAGACCACTGCTTACATGATTAGAAATACAGCATAAAAGGGAATCTATCTCTTTAAAGCATCATTTCTTTTAAATGGTTTATAAAAAGAATGTTTACACATACATGCATGTATCTAACTTTACATAAATGTACCACCGTTAGATTACTTATCCCCACCTCCATATTATAATACATTGCCAAGTAAGCAAAATTATGACCTGCTCTGGCTCCTTTCAAGTATTTTCCACGCTCACATAGGCATATGTAATATATAGACAAAAATACGTGGTATTATTACTTTTTTAAAAATGATACATAATGTATAATGCGTTTTCAGTGCTGTCCCGTCTCCTGGAACATCCTGGCCCTTCTCTAGCTGACTGTCCTGGTTAACTAACTGAAGATACTTAAATATTAATCAATGGACCTCAAGCTCAATGGACCTTGAAGTTCCAATAAACACCCAAAACAATTTATGGAAGTTGCTCTGTTGTGGTGATCACACTGAAGATAGTGTTTTTCTACCAGGTTTTAGAGTTTTCACCTTTTTCACGTTTGCCTTCTCCCACTCATAATAATGTGAAAGCTTTGACTCTTCACTTCAGGATTTTACCATTTGAAAAGAAAAGCAGTACAGTTAGCTAATAACAAAAATTTATTTATTAAGATGGCATGAGGAAATAAGGTAAGTTTGGGGGTGATAACTATCTTTTTCTCCCCTGTCCCAACATGCAGCATTTATTGAACCTCTATGCCTTCACGTTTTGCACTTTATTTCATTTAATGCAAAGTCCTGAGGTAGGTACGCACCATGACTTCTACTTTATAAAAAAGGAAATTAAGAGGATGTTAATTTGTCTAAAGAACTCAGTTAAGTAGCAGAGACAAAGTTCAAAGCAGGTTCGACGTGACCAAAACCACTACTATGAGTCTGCCGCTCTAATACAGAGAAGTAGAAAATGTGGGGGCCATTGAAAACTGAATGTTTCATGATGGGACAGTGTTAATTTAGCGGTGGTATTAACAAAATTATTTGTAGAAGCTGATATCCAAAGTGACTCATGTTTATCTGAAAACTCTGACACACAGTATCTAGGAGCCATGGTGTGGTTCGGAAGCAGTGTGCACTAATCAAAGTGACATGTTGTGTATGCCATGGTGAGTCAGTGACACTCCTCAACACTGGAATGAGTTTAGGTTTTATGGCAACTGCCTCAAATCCTAAATATCGCCACCCGCCCCCCCCCCCAACACTGGCCCCCTGAAAAGGGAAGAATTGTAGGTTACTGCAACTGACAATCTGGGGGAAAAAAAAACCCCAGCAGGCGAAAGGCACACTTAACCTTGGTCCCACAGTGCTTCCAGAATAGAGGTACAGGGGGTGGTTAGTACGAGGTCTCTGCTGGTGGAGCTATGTGCCACGTGGGAAAGAAAGATAAGCACAGAAACATCTTCTGCTTGCAAGTCATTAACACCTCTCATCTCCTTAGCTAAGGCTTACTCTGGGTATCCACCCTACTTCTTTACCAAGTTCTGGGTCAAAAGAAGGTATAATTAAGCTGAAAACACCAAAATCCATTCCTTAACACAATTAGTTATGTCATTCTTAAGAATACTCAGTCCCGGGGCACCTGCTTGGTTCAGGGGGTACAGCATGTGACTCTTGATCTCAGAGTAGTGAGTTCAAGGCCCACACTGGGCAGAACATCTACTTTTAAAAAAACAAAAAACAAGAAACAAAAAACTACTACAGCCCCAGTAGTGTGGGTATTAGCAAGTACTGCTATAACCTTCAACTAAATATCCTGCATCCAACGATCTTAATTATATAGACTATTACTAGGATCCAGAAATAAACAAAATGCCCTGTAAGCTGTGGTCACAATAGTCAGGCACTGCAATTCACAATTAACCCCATGAAAATACTTCCAGCACAATCTATGTGTGTATTTAACTTATACAATTTTTTTTTGTAATTTTTAATGTTTATTTGAGAGAGAGAGAACGAGAGACAGTGCAAGCGGGGAAGGGGCAGAGAAAGGACACACAGAATCTGAAGCAGGCTCTGAGCTGGAGCTGGCAAGCTGTCAGTGCAGAACCAGATGAGGGGTTCAAACTCACAAACCGTGAGATCATGACCTGTGCCGAAGTCAGATGCTTAACCGAGTTACCCAGGCGCCTCAAACTTCATGCAGTTCGAAGGAGCTATTAAACAGCATCTCATCTTTGAGTGTTTTCTATGTGTGTTAGTGTTAAACACTTTCCCTGAATTTTTTCTTTTTTAATGTTTATTTAGTTTTGAGAAAGAGAGAGAACGAGTGGGGGGGGAGAGAGGGAGAGAGGGAGAGAGGGAGGGAGGGAGAGAGGGAGAGAAAGAGAGAGAGAGAGAGAGAGAGAGAAACACAGAATCTGAAGCAGGCTCCAGGCTCTGAGCTGTCAATACAATGCCCTCCTGGGCTCACACCCACAAACCATGAGATCATGACCTGAGTGAAGTCAGAGGCTTACCCAAGTGAACCACCCAAGGGTCTCAAACACTTTCCCTGCATTTTCACACTGAATACTCACAGCCCTGTGAAGAAGCCTCTAACTTGTCCAAGATCTTACACCTAGGAAAGGCTTCACCTGGATTCCAAGTACGTTCTGTGACTTCACAAGAGCAACTCTTTATCATGACAGCAATACTTAACAACGTAAGCACCCAGGTACATTGGGATCCACTGGAAAGCATGTTAGAATAGATTTCTGATTGAAGTCTGAGATAAGATCCCAAAATTTGCATTTCCAACAAGTTCCCATGTGATGCTGCTGCTAGTAGTCCGGGGACAATTAGGAACTCAATGTACCGTTATTCTTTGTAAAATTACTTGCTTCCCCAAGCTGCCGTGTCAGCAGCAAATTATAAGTCTTTACAGTTTATTGGAACTGGGAAAAAAAAAAAAAAGAAATGTGGGACTTAAGACTTTTAAGAAGTAATTGCAGAGAACTAAAAGAGGCAAAGTACAGCTGTCACTGAATGTCCTGCAAAGAGACCTACACAACGCGATGATTAAGTCATGACTATACAATAATTCCTAATAAGCAATCCTGAGTCTTCAAAAGTTATTGCTTAGTTTGGACAAAAGAAAGCATGTGATCCATTTTTGGACAGGTTTTTAAAGTGTGACGAGAAAAAGGGTTACATTCACAGGCGGATTTCCTATCCCCTATTAAGAGAAACACCACTTCTTAGGTTAGGGTTGTGTCGGCCACACACTTGCTGGGAGAAACGAAGTTATTCTCCCGTTACCTGAAACTGCAAGTTGTTGCTGATGATGCAACGTCACTTTAAACTTCCTGCTTTCGAAAGGACGCTTTTAAAACCCCCACAGAGCCCAGCCCATCCATCCTCCGAGCACATCCTTGCCAGGGCAGTCGTCACCAGGATCAGACAGGGTGCAGACGACAGGACCCTCCCCCCCACCCCCAACCCGGTTGACTCGGTAGACTCGCGACGGGAAGCACCCTTCCGCCTCTGGGACTTGCCCAGGGTGCTCAGAATGCGGAAGCGCGCCTCCAACCCGAACCCCACCCCCTCCCCGCCCGGCCCGGGGAAAGCGCCGACTGGAGGCGCCCGGCACCCGCTCCCAACCCGGCGCCACGACCCTGGGAAAGGGCGAAGCGACACCAGGCAGAACCAGCGACGCCAGGGGGGCCAAACAGACGCGGAAACTCACGCTCTCTACGGCCCGTCTGCGTCCCCACGTCTTGGCGCGCGTGTACGTCATCACGCACGGGCGCCAGAACACTCCGGTTGCCCGGGACCCACAGGGCGGGGAGAAGGGAGCGTGGGCGACCTCGCGCCGCGGCTTGCACAGCAGAGCGGGAGGGGCGGGGCTGGGGTGGGGAGGGTCGTAAAGCGGGCCGGACAGCCTCCCTCTGCGCATGCTCAGTTGCGCGCCTCCCCGCTCTTCGCCGCCCCGGGATGGACGTGCGCACCGCGTGCGGTGGCAGTGGCTTGGGGCAGGTTTCGAGGGCCTCGCTGGAGAGGGTCCGCTGCTGAGCGCAGTGGGGGTGGGGGTGGGGGACTTGTATCCCGGCCCCATCCTCCCAGCACCAGCACCGAGTAGAACGTGGATGATCTTCCTTGGGACCGTAACTGTTGGTCGCCCACCGCGCGTAAAGCAGAGGAGCGGCCTGCTTTCGAGGGACCGGACGTGGGGGACCCCCGGCGAGGGGGCCAGGTGGCGGCTGAGAAACTGGTCTTCTGGGGTCCCATCCGTACCGCGAGGTCCTGCTGCTGCGTGGAGTAGTCGGACCCTGCCCGTGAAGTGCTGGTGGGAGTGACAGAAACTCCCACCTTCGTGAGTTAGCGGCACACCGCACCAGAGCGTCCGTGTCTGGTGGACCCCGTGGTTACTAAGTAGGCCACCAAAACAAGGCCCTGGGGGTGCTGCCCACTCCCCAAGCTTAGCCCGGAGCTCGCATTTCTTAGTCTGTTTGCCCATTGAGGGGCTTCTGGTGTTAGGTATTTCGATGGAGGTCTCCTATGAAGCCGTTTTAGGAATTATGCTTCTATCCTAGAACAAGTGTTAGGTTCAGTTGTAAGAGTTAAGTTCAATGTAGTAATGTTGTATTTCTTTTCTGCAATACCAAGAGGCTGGCCTACTCTTTGGTATGGAACTTTCTAGTAACTAAGGGGAAGACCTGCCTTCCAAAGGCAGGTGGTGGTATGCTGGTCTGTACTTATTGGAAGTTGTGGCAGCTGTGTGTAGCGAGTCTTGTCTTTTGTTACTGTTTGTTGCAAGGACTCTTCGTGGAACTGTTCATTTTGGAGTTTGAAATTTAAATGAAAATTTGGCTCATGTTCAGAGGAATATAACAGACTTTCAAGTGACAGGGAAGATTCTTAGGAAATTCCAAGTATGTATTCTTTGAGCCTTACAAGTCATGCCTTTCTTCTAAAAACAATACGCTGATCAGAAAGTCTGATGGAAACTGCATTCCTAGAACGTCAACTGAGGGGGGGTGGGAAGTAGATGAATCGCCTATAGGAGAATTTTATATACTTCTCTAGAAAAAAGATAAACGTAATTATTCAGAAAGAAGGGGTCTTCATTTATCTTTCTGATCCATGATCATACACATTAATTCAATTCATACTAATCCTGTCTTCTGTTCTCTAACACCCCTTATACCTTTCTGTAATCGCATCATTTTTCTTGTTGTTATCTTAATACGTCAGATACAGAAGTAATTTTAAGGGAGCCACAAGTCAAGAAGTCTCAATACAGTAATCTCAAAAATGTCATATATAAGGATTTAGAGTATACGTAGGCAATTATATTCCATTTTAAATATTACTGGTGAAAAAACGTAATAGACATTTAAGAGGACAGAAAAAGTCTGCCTTTTTAAAAATGACCTTTTTTTTGGTCCTGTGGTTCATTAAACAGCCTGCAACTTTAAGTTGTATTGAAATCAGCAAATTGTATGCTCAAGTCCTATTTAGATTGGCCGACATCAGTTAGATAATAATTGTGCATCTTAAACATTAACATATGAGGCAGTCTCACATCCCTTCACTGAGACAGGGCTTTTAATAACAATAGAACAAATAACAAAGATTCAATGCCAGAAGACCTTTAACATTAAACTTATGCAATTGTTACATTACTTTGTAAGATAATGATTCCTAAACAAAGTATTCATTATCTTAATCACGAGAAAAAGCATTTGTGCACATGATATATAATATCCAAGACCCATCTAATGATCTGAACAATTCTCTACTTTTATCAAAGGTTTGAAAGAAAGCAGCAGTGTCTGGGATTAAGCCATTTGATGTAAACGAGTGTTCCTACATTGTGGTCCTAGCATATAAATAGAGGAGCTGCGGTAACAACCTTTGTACAGTTCATAAACCTAGGATTGGAACTGGCAGGAAGGCAGAGGAGTATCATCTTCAGCCTTCAAAACCCGGCCTGAACAAGGGAGGACATCAGTTAACAGCACCATGAGCAAATAACACAACTGAATTATTTTTTGAAAGAGGAGCTTGTTTTGGTATACCGTTGCTTTTAGTGGATCACTCATTGTTGTACTCAGCACTGTACCAAAAGATGTATAAAACTTATCAAAGAACGTATAGCTTCCTCGTTAGGCAAAAGCTTGCAAATTAATTCAAGAACAATCTAAGAACCACAAAAGTAAGTACAAAAATTGCATCATGTATTATGATAATAGTGAGACCAACAATAGTATTTAATAGTAATAGACCATGCAAACAGTAACCTTAAGAAATTTTCACTGGCTTTACTGATATCAAACAAACTAGACTTTAAGACCAGAAATATCTCTGGAGACACATTTCACACAGAGTCGGTACATCAAGAAGATGTAACAAATAGAAATGTACATGTGCCCACCCACAGAACCCTAAATACATGAAGCAAAAACTGATAGAGTTGAATGGAGAAATAGATAAATAGTAATAGTTCGATATTATTCAATATCCTATTCTCAACAATGGGTAGAGCAACTAGACAGGAAACCGTTAAGGATATAGAATGCTTGAACAACACTACCAGCCTTATACATATAGATCACTGTACTTAATGATGGCAGGGTTTATATTCTTTTTAAGAAGTATAGTCTTTAGAATACTCCATATGGTAGGCTATAAAACCAGTCTCAATACATTTAAGACGATTTGGATGATATTCTATGATGTAACCATGTTCTGTGGTTCCGAGGTTAGGAATAGGCAATAGGAAAAAAACATAGAAAATCTCCAAACATTTGGAAATTAAATTACTCAAGAGTTGAAGAAGTTATGAAGGAAATTAAAAAATATTTTGAACTGAATGAAAATGAGAACATTGAAATTTGGCGATGCAGCTAAAGCAGTGATCTGAAGGGTATTTACGACTTTAAACACCTATATTAGAAAAGAAAAAGGGTGCCAATAATCTAGGTTTATACCTTAAGAACTAGAAAAATAAGAGCAACCATAGCAAGGAAACAGGAGGGAATAATTATTGTATTAGAAACCAGTGAAATAGAGAAGAGAAAAATCAGGAAAATCAATGAAAATAAAAGTTGGCTCTTTGAAAAGTTCAGTAAATTTGACCAAACTTTATTTATTTGGCTGCCCCTCCCAAAGAGAAGATACAAATTACTGAAATTAGGAATGAAAGCAATACACCGCTGCCAACCCTGCCAAAATTAAAAGAAGCTATGAGTAACCTTATGTCAACAAATTAGACAATGTAGTTGAGTTGGACAAATGCCTACAAAGATACAAATTGCCAAAACTGAGTCAAGGAAACAAAGTCTGGAGTTTGCATCCATGTCCTACAGCTACCAGAACAAAGTACCACCAACTGGGTGGCTTAAACAACAACAATTTCTGTCTCACACTTCTGGAAGCTAGAAGTCCATGATCGAGGTGGAGAGCAGGACCACGCTCTCTCTGAAACCTGTAGGAGAGAATCCTTGACTCTTTCTGGCTTCTGGTGGTTTGTCAGTGGTCCATAGCACTCCTCAGCTTGCAGCTACTTCAGTCTCTGCCTCCATCATCACATGGCCTTCTCCCCTCGTGTCCATTTCCTCTTCTTATTAGGACACTGGTAATAAAGGATCGAGAGCCCGTCCTACTCCAGGATGAACTCAGGTTGACTAATTACATCTTCATTGACCCTGTTTCCAAATAAGAATCCATTCTGGGGTACTGCGGGGTTGGGACTTCAACATACCTTTTTGGGTGATGCAATTCAACCCATAACAGATCCATAACAAGTAAAATTAATATAGTTGGCCCTTGGACAACATGGGTTTGAACCATATGGGTCCACTTATACACAGATTTTTTTTGATAAACACTACTGTAAATAAATTTTTCTTCATGTTTTTCTCTAGCTTTATAGCAAGAATATAGTATACAATACATACACAAAATATGTATTAACCACTTTATGTTATTGGTAAGGCTTCTGGCCAACACTAGGCTATTATTTTGGGGGAAATCAAAAGTTATACATGGATGTTAACAGTGCAGGGGGTTTGGTGCCACTAACCCCTATGTTGTTGAAGGGTCAACTGGACTTTAAAATCTTTCCACAGGGTTACCTGGCTGGCTCAGTCAGAAGAGAATACAACTCTAGATCTTGGGTTTGTAAGTTCGAGCCCCATGTAGGTTGTAGAGATTACTTAAACATAAAATCTAAAAAAAATTAAAAATAAAATAAAATCTTTCTACAAAGAAAAACTCAGGCCCAGATGGATTAACTGATAAATTCAATCAAATATTTAAGTTAGAAATGATGCCATACAAAACGTAAGAGAAATCTCTGTGATTTTAGGTTAGGCAAACACTTCTCAGCTATGACACCAAAAGCCCAGTCCCACAAAAGAAAAAATTGATAAACTGGATGGCCTCAAAATTTTTAAAAAAATTTGCTTTTTAAAAAGACATCATTAAGAAAACGAAAATCAAGCTACAGATTGGAAGGAAATATTTGCTAATTTTCTATTTGATAAGGATTTATATCTGCTTATTTAAAGTACTCTTATAATTCAACAAGAAGATAAACTTCATTTGAAAAACAAGCAAAAGATTTGAATAGATCCTTCACTGAAGAGAACATTAAAATATTCCCAATATCGTGTCACCTGGGTTGCTCAGTCGGTTAAGCGTCTGGACTCTTGACTTCAGCTCAGGTCACAATTTCATTTTTGAGTTTGAGCCCTGCATAGGGCTCTGCACCGACAGCACGGAGCCTGCTTGGGATTCCCTCTCTCTCCCTTCCTCTCTGACCCTCTCCCACTCACTTTCTGTCTTTTAAAATACATAAAAAAGTTAAAAAAAAATATTC